GTGTGTGTGTGTGTGTGTGTGTGTGTGTGTGTGTGTGTGTGTGTGTGTGTGTGACCAACCTTTGGGGAAATAATGGAGAAGTATTTCTGTCCAGAAGGCCTCTGGTAGAGGTGATACACATTGCCTGGTTTCTTCAAAATGTTGCAGGCAGCATGATGGAGTTCAGCATCTCGCTTTGCCTCTTCTAACACCTAAAAAGTAACAAACTGCATCAAAACAACCAATATCTGAGAGCGTCAGTCACAACTCTGCTGCTTTTATCAGACAGGAGCTCCTGTGAATGTTTGCTCATACCTTTCTCGCCTGCTCCTGCAGGTATCTGATCTGATCTGCGATCACTGTCAGCTTGTTGCAAGCATTGGCTTTTACGAAATCATCTCCCTGAGAAATATTCAGATATTAGAATTACTGTAGGTATTTATCATGAGGCTTTTCATGCTGGTAAACATCATTCAGACCTTCTGGACTTGCTCCGCCAGGGCCACCAGGTCTGTAGGGTCTCCCACTCTGTTGGTCTGGTAGGAGCTGACCAGTTCCAGCCCACTGGGTGTGGAGCTGCTCTCCACTAGTGTCACTGAAACAGACAGCAGTTACATCCTGAACTGATAGCTCTGCTACTAATGTTTTTAATTATTAGCAGATGGTCAAAGGAGAAAACTGACCAACATTTTAAAAACTGAGCAATAACTTGTACTTTAATGAGCTCCTGTCAGCCTGTTAGTAAAATATCTCATGAGCCACTTGATAAATTTAACTAAATTTTGCAGAAAACAATTATTAGATGTACACTTACATTTAATTAACTGTTGGTGTCAACCCAATTCAAGATGGCTGCCACACAACAGCACAGAAATGTCTAAAACTCAGTTAACAGATGAGGTTTTAAATTTGGTGTGGTAGTAGCTGAAAGTCCTCTTCAGTAAATACTCTGATGTGATATGTTGTGAGATTTTGACCAAAACTGCTACAACTTCATTATTTCCCAACATGAGATTAGAAAAGTAACAGGCAGATGAAATGCAATTCTGAAGGGAACTGTTCGCTTTAATTTAACCTCATGTAAATAAATAAATTCACAATCTGTAGTGATTCTGCTTACAACGTGGTAATATCACAATACTGTATATCTAGAGTTTTAAAACTCTTTACTAATCTGATATGAATTCATTATTTTGATGTTCACTTGTGTTTCCTCCACAGACCAGAAACATGCATGGCAGGTTTAATTTGAACTAAAACTGTCTCTAGGGTGAGTTGTTGATTAAACACGATGTTTTGAGTTTTAACATGTGTGGTTTAAAGCTAAGTGGCAAAATAATAATAATAATAATAATAAACCAACCATTACTCTTTTACAACATACCCACCACTAAAAAAGCATGCCTCAAAAATAATCATTACAAACTCAGTTCAATGTAAACTGTAACATTTCTTCTATTTTTGTCATGTATAGATGTAAACACAGTGTTCATGAGCTGAGGGTGGCTAATTTTAGCTAAATTTACTGACTATCGGTTTTCCTCAGCAACCATCTGTGTGGAAGAAAGTTTCTGCTTTAAACTAATTAACTAGTTAAACATATTACCTGTGGTGGTTTTGTCAGGCTGGCTTGGTAAAGTCACTGTCCTGTCCATTTTTTTTTTCTTCTTTCACTTTTTTTTTCTACAAACTCCTTTCAGCAGATCAGTTCACCGGCTCGTTTCACAAACCAGTTTTTCCACACGGTCCTTATTCAACACTTAGCAGTCCTCCTGATATGTGCCTGTTTAAAAATTGCGTAAATAAACTCTTAATATCTTTTTTTTCGGGGAAGGTGGGCTGTGACTGAGGAATATTTTTTGTGTCTTCAGCCATCAAGCACGGTTAAAATACGTGGAAAATTTAAAGCTATGATTTGGAAAATTAGAAAAATAAAAATCAGGCAGACAAGCTGCAACATCTGGGCTCGTAGGTATGGCTGTAGCGTCCAATGAGGTATATTAGACGAGTTATCACGTGACTTTGGGCATCGTCAGAGCAATCCTGTGAGGGACGCGCTTCCAACACAGAGGGAAACAAATTTTCACAGGGTACCTGAATTTTGTACAACACCGGGTTTAAAACGGTTTTTAAACCCGGTGTTGTACAAAATTCAGTTACCCTGTGAAAATTTGTTTCCCTCTGTGTTGGAAGCGCGTCCCTCATAGGATTGCTCTGGCGTTATGCCCTGGACCATAGAAATGAATACGTTGTTCCCTGGACCAGTGACTCACAAGGGGGAATAGATTTTCACAAGGAAACTGAAATTCGCACAACACCGGCGTCTCCATCGGGTTCTGCAAGCTTTTTTTTCCCCCCTTTTTTTAAATGAACAAAAAAATGCGAATTTACAAAACACTTGAAAGGGTAAATATCTCTGATACACCAGGTAGGAATGAGCTACACATACAAAAGAAAAAAAAAATAAAAGTGAGAACACTGAACATATAAAGCATACAGCAAAGTTGGAGGGAAATATAGCTACAAATTTTATATATAGGAAGGCAGGAGCAATGTATAACTTAAAGGAGCCAATGAACAAATTAGTAAAAAAAAAAGTTTATAATGTCTTTCAGTATTTTCTTGGTACTGCAAGCTGCAGTTAGGTATTATTGAAGAGCTTTGTCTATCACTATTTGCAAGTGAAAACTGCAAAAATTCTAAGTTCATAAATCCTCGTGAAAATGCTTATTTTGCATTATCCCAAGTTAGGATAATGCAATGCTTGTGATGTCCTGATGCATCTCAGTAATCCAGGTAAAAAAATCAAAAAGAAAAAAATTGTAT